GGGGGATTTGTAAGATGAAGAAAAATGCAGAAAAAAAAAAAAGTAGTGAATGAATATTTACTCTTTCTCACAATAATGGAATCTGGGGGCATTAATCCAGTCTATGAAGCAGCATTTTAGAAATAAAAGTATGTCATTTTTATAAAACTTAAAATAAAATTACATCTCATAGTTGAACTGCAGAAGTAATTGCCCCATTGTGTTGGACACATTGGAGATTAGATAAATCCACACAGGAAAGATCCAGCAGGACAGTGGTCTAGGAAGTGATTTAGAAGAGTTGATAGGTGTGTGATGGCTGAAACCTGGGAGAACATGTCTGCAGTGGTTCTGTTCCCATCTTTACAGTCTCCTCCTGTGTATCAGCTACAAGGACAGTATCAGAGATGCTGGGCTAGATGTGATTTTGGTATAATTATGACTGTAGTAAATCCAGAGATTAGATTTTTTAAAAATTTAAATAGACTTTCTGCCAGCTTTCTGACTAGAAATATTCAGAATATAATGATTTTTAAATTCCAGAATCAGGCACTTACATTTTCCAAGCCTGTGGTTGCTAATCTTTTCTCTCACAAATGCAAAATATCCTAAGTGGCATTTTGTTGCTAACATTTGAGAAAAGTCTGCGGTATTGCTATCAGTGCTTTATCTCTCTGTCACAATGTTCTGCACTGGTAAAATAGGCATCTTAGAAATACCTTCCAAAAGTTTCCAAGAGTAGCTTAGAGGGGGGAAGTTAGCAGGATCAGCTCCCTGGATCATGAGTCAAAATCCTGTTTTTAGAAGTTTTGGTGTGACAGCAAGTACACTTTACTATGGTCCCCAAATGCTTTGGTGATTTTGAAGACTCAGATTTCTGAGGGTCTTAAGTGTTCATGAAAATGCTGACATAAAAGAAATGTCTCAGAAGGAAGGAAGGGAAGATCAGGGGAGGAAGAAAACAGTGGACATACTGTTCCTGGCTTTGACTCTGTGAAGTGTTTCCACTTTTGTGTCTTCCTGCTCGTGGTTTTGGTTTCAGGTCCCCTTAGCAGACCTTTTTCCCTCCATGGTATCCAAACAGGACACTTTGCTGGAAGAGCTTCTTTAGGCCAAACACTGCAGGATGCTCTGTGCCAGATCAGGGTGAAACACCAGTGAAGTTAATTTGAAAAATTCATCAGATAAATTAAATGAGAAACTGAAAACATTTGTTTATTTAATATATAAAACATTCATCTTTATCAACTGTAATATTTCCTACCCTTTGATATTGTTCCACACTACCACTCTGCAGAGGATCTCATCTGACTAAGGTACAGAACAAGAGTTTGATTATATGAAGGCAGTGGGCCAAAAAGCTAGAGGTCATATGCAAACTGAAATCTGCATTCATTTGCATAATGCTTCTGATATAGAGATATAGATAGAGCTATATATGTATGCATTTATGCAGCCATTATCTCTCTGTCTCTGTTGAAAGATCCTTCTCCTTTCCCAGCCTTTCCCTGAGCTGGCTCTTGCCCTGGTCCTGGTTGTCCTTGATGAGGACTGGCCACTCTAAAGTCCAGGGGCTCCTCTCCGTGCAAAAACATAGATTTGTCACTGGTCTAAATTCTGTAGCAGCAGTTCTTGCTTTTGTGCTGGTTGTCATCTGAGCTGTTTATTTGTGCTGGTAAGGAGCAGCTAGGAGCTGTGGAAACTGAGCTGTCCCTGGGTCCTTCCAGCAGCAGTTGTCATTGGCAAACAGAATCACAGGACAGTTCTTTGTCATGAGCACTTCAGAGAATGGCTTAAGGGCATGTATTCACTCTCTGCTAGTTCTTCATCCCCTTTTTGAGGATGAGGGTTGGAGCAGCCATGTGGAATAACCATCTGAGCTCAGCTCAGGTGAGAATCTTTTAGCATTCTTCTGTGTCTTTGGATTGTAAAGACTTGCTGGAATCTTCCTGCATCAGTGGGGTTTTGAGACTCAGCTCTCCTGTAAGCACTGGATAATGTACTTTAGGAATCAACACAGTCAGGTGGGGAGACCAAGCTGAAACTTTTGTCATAGAAGTAGGCTAGGAAATGACTTTGACTTTCCATACACCAGTTAAAAGGAATGGAGACTTGCTCCTGCTACCTTGAGGATTCTGTCCTCAGAGAGGCAATCTGGTCCTGAATGATCAGTGGTACCTGGTTTTGTGTAAAAGTTTATGAGAGAAGACCTGTCTGTTCTTGTAAAAGAAGAGAAAAAGTATTTTTTATTAAGAATAGAGTAATAAACCAAGCAAGCTTTGCGTTTGTGCTCAATCAAATTAAAAGTTTTTAATAGGGGTTTAGTTGGGGTTAGAGTAGGTGTTTGAGTGAAGGGATTTTATGCTGTCAGTGACTTTTTTCAAATCTCTAGAGTTAAGCCCTGGAGTGCAGGTATAAACTGTCACGCGGAGTTGGCACCAATTAAAGCTCCTGAGAATCTACCCTGCTTTTTCAAAACAGTCAACAGCCATGTTTGACATGTAGAGAGCCAGCAAAACTGGAGCTAAAGAAAGCTTTATTGAAAACCTGACTGCTTATTTTGGTGCTTATGTGGAACTTAATCTCTAGAAAATCTGGTCCAAAATTCAGTCTCATCCAAACCAATGTTTCCACTTTCAGGTGGGCAACTTGAGCCACACTGAATGAGAATTGCACAATGAAAGAAAGAAATAGGCCCTTGGGCAGGTATTTCATTTGTGAGCTTTGAAAAAAATTCAGAGACATTAAGGGATTACTATGCCAGATCTACCAAAGCTTGAGCTTCTTGGAGTCAATGGAGTTCTCTTGCATAACTTCAGAAGACTATTTTATGCTGTTCTCTCAACTGGGTTATTAATAAACTGATAGGTTGATCATAAAGTGACTTTACTGGAAAGAAAGTTTACCAAGTGAAGAATTCAGTGAATATTTTCCAGGCACCCATATCCAATAGATTGCTTGGTGTGATGAATAGTAAGCAATACTGCTTTTTAAGACTGCAGTAATACAAAGTGCTCCAAAAAGCCTAACCCTAGCAGAACTGAGACCTGAGAACATGTAAATCATGCACCATCAGGCCAAGATCCATTACAGTATAGAGTAGTCCTAGATCCCAGCTGTTTCCTTTCTTCAAGTCCTTCATAAATGTGTACTAAAATAAGTTTGAGGCAAGTAATTGAACACAATTTGAAGAAATTCCTCATAGAAACTCTTTTTAAAGAGTTTTGATTGTAATAATTTTATTCTAGCATATGGGTTTGGGGCTTGGTGGTAAGTTGATCTCTTTATGGAAATGGTAAATCATTAGCATTTTCTATCAAGAGCAGAAAAAAAAATTGTTTACAAATCATTGCATTCATTTCAGATTATTCATCAGAGTTGAAAGGCAACTGTTTGAGTTACTTTGTGATACCATAAACAGAGCTCTGGGAAGACCACATACTTTGTAGCATAACTGGGGGTTTGTGCATGTACCGACTGAGACTTTCCTTCAGTAAGTGCTCAGCTAATTTTCCAAAAGGGAAAATCTAGATTCCAGGCTGCTGTTCTGAAGGAGCAAGTTTGAGATGGCACTGATAGGCCTGCTGACTGACAGAGGAAAGGTCTAACCAAGATGTCTTATTTATTTTCTTTCTTGTGCAGTGATAGGCAAGGAAAGTCTTCACTTCCCCTTTCCCTACACGCTCCCAAAATCTCTGATGGGGTCATGAAAATATTCACATCTGGAAAAGAGTAAGAACTGAGGGCAGGGAGGATTTTGATACAGAAAATTGGAGTCAATAGCACTTAACATTTCCTGGTTAATTAGAAAAAGAAGACTGTATACACACAGTGTAGTTCAAGACAGAATGAGACTGCCTGGTTTCCCTGGGTGCTGCTGTAAATTACCCCAGAGCTTTTTTCTCTATGAGAAAGAGCTACAACTGCTGTCACACGAAGGCAGCACAAACAGCAATAGCTGAGCGAGCCCTGCTTACCTTAGTGTGTTGTGGCCAGTCCTGGTGGAATTAATTTCTGCAGGAGCTGTGCCAGCTTTTCTGAGGTTTGGAGTGCTGTGGATCACTTAGCTTTGTTGTGTTTCTTTTGCCCCTTCCAAAAATAAAATGAAAGCAAAACACACACCAACTCCATTGCCGGCATGTTGGCACACACTGTGAAGTAACTTAACTGGCTGAAGAGTCTTGAAATAAAAGGAAAGCACAGAATTTTCAGGTGGCAAGAAAAAAGCAAAAAATGGATATGACACTTTTGTGAGCAAAACAGGCCAATTGCAGAGTTGAATGTGGGTCAGATACCTAATAGTGGCAGTGTTGATACATAGGTGTCTGTTAAACACTACAGCATAAGAACAGCTATGCCAAAGAGAAGTGATAGGGAATAGGCCCTCACAACAGCCTGTAGCTAATGCTGCCTTTTGTGATTTTATATATTTGCCTATTAAAATGACAATATAGACGTGGAACATTTAGATTTAAGAAGCCTTCTTTTCACTAAACAACGTTAAACAAACTGACAAAGTAGGGGGTTATGACTCCAGTAATTGAAACATGCTGTTCTGTTCAGGACCAGAACTCTCTAAAGACTCTTTTCACCCAGTAATGCCCTTTGTGTTTGCCTGCTATCCCTGCTAGAAATTACTGTAGACCTGAAGTATGTCTTTCCAAGTGGAGTGGGAATGACAGAGTGCAACAGCACACTTGGCAGATGGGGTCACAGCCTTTTTACGTTGTTCATGTTCATTGTGCATTGGAAATCAATTTGCAGCTCGGAATACATTAAGACATAGGGGGATTCCTCTCTCCACTGTTTGGGGTTTTGTTTCTTTTTTTATTTTTTTTTCACGTTAACTTCAAGCCTAGGATACAGGAAAAATAATTAGAGGGATTAATTTGGATTAACTGATTTGAGTGATCTTCATTAGCTTAATCTACAGCATGCCTTTTTGTGTGTTCCTCACTCTTGTAGATTTATATTCTGAATCTGTGCATTACCTTGAATTTCTTTTTCCTTCTGTCTTCTAGATGTTGATGAGTGTCTGGATAACAATGGAGGGTGCCAGCAGATTTGTGTAAATACTATGGGCAGCTACGAATGTCAGTGCAAAGAGGGCTTTTTTCTGAGTGATAACCAGCACACCTGCATTCATCGCTCCATTGGTAAGTTTTAACTGTGTAAAATGTGCTCTTTAGAAAAACCACGTTCAATCAGAAAAGCTAAAACAGTTTGGGGTTTGTTGGATTTTTTGGTTTTTAATCTCCACTGTTCCCGAAATCATTTTACTGGTTGGTTGGATTTGATTGATTCCTCTGCTAGTCAGACTTGTAGCAGAGCCATAAATAAGACAAAGAGACAGGCTTTGGTTTGACACACAAATTATACTTGGTTTACACAGCAGACTCTTTGTGTAGGCAGAGACAGATTTTCAAATAGTAACTTTCTGGTTCTGAGTTTCCAGAACTTAAAAATCTGTTTATTGGATAATGATGCACCTGTGTTTCACCTTAGAAAGCATGGTATCTTAAATCCAAGTGAGCAGCTTGTTACTTCTCTAAGTTACACAGCTTGTGGGGGTTTTTGCCAGTCGTGTAGCACATTATTTCACTGCAGACTGATTGTGGCTGATACTGTATTGACACAGGATTTTTCTTTGGTTTAGTACCCTGTCCTCAGGTGGATTAAAAACCAGTTTCTCTGTTGCCTATGAACTAGCAATGGAAACAAGGAATCCTTGCAGAACTGTGATCCTTGTCTGCTGCTGTTTTGGACTAGAATAAGCAGCTTTCCCTTTTCTATAGATGTCAGACATGGAAGACAAGTTTGAGTGGAAAGGGAGAAAAGAAAACAACATAGCCATAAATCTTTGCAATTAAGTGGACTCTCTCAGTGTTCATTCAGGCTTCTGTGACCCTGGCAGCAGTGGGAATATAAGCTAGCAAACTCATTTACCAATGAGCAATACAGAATGACAAAGTGGCAAGATGAGACTGGTGTTCAACAGTGCTGTAAATTTCAACAGGCCACACAAATGCATCTGAGATATTTTAAGTGATTAATACTAACCAGAAAATCATACTTAAACACAGAGTTTAGTCATTCTGTTGATGAGAAAGCAAAACATTGTCGTTTTGCTACAACGCAGCATCTCAGAAATGTAGATGTGTTTCTGGCACTGTGTGTCTGCTTAAAGAGAATTGTAATGACAAGTAGTGATTTTGACTTTCAGAATCATGAAACTATGGAATATATATAACTGTGGAATATATATAATTATGGACAGGTCTGCTTTTTAGCATGATTATTAAGTTTTAAGTATTTTGATTATGACAAGAATATGCAATTAAGCTACATGAACCCAGTGCATGTTTGAGGTTATTATCTAATAGGTTTTTAGTAATTCTTTAAATCTAAATTTTCCAGATTTCTGTCCACTATAAAGTAACACTGACATAAAGATATCCAACAGAGCAAGGAATAGTAGCTGGAGGCTTAATGAAAAGCACTTGCAGAGTACTGTGCTACAATCATGATTTCAATTTGCACATTATAAAAATTCCCAGCTGTAATAAAAAAATAATCTAGTTATCTGAGATGGAAACTAATGAAATAAATGAAAAATGAGACTCTAAAGGCAATAGTTTATTCTAAGGAATAGTTTCATGGGGGAAAAGGGTGTGTTTTTATGGCAATGAGGATTCCTAGTTTGTCAGAAAGACTAGGGGAGTAGTTTTGAACACTGATTGTTGTGGGCATATGATAAATATGCAGGGAAAATTCATTTGTGTTAACTTGTTTACAAAGAAAATGTCATATAAGACATGGATGTTTAATTTGAAGCTATATCTTAAAATTGTTGTAGATCTGAAAAAAACCAAGCAAACTACCAAATAGACGAGTGGGAATTGCAGTGTGTTTTATGAACAAATGGTTTGCAGCTTTTCAAAAGAAAAGTGTCAATTTACAATAACAGCAAACATTACACTGCAGTGTCATGATCTCCTAACAGAAATACATCAGGTGGGTATGCTGGAGGAAGGAACTGAGATGAAATTATCTCTTTCACTTGTCAGAGGTGTCTGAACTGCAAACAGTAAACATGCATGGTGAGAAAGCAAATGGCTTTTTTAATATCTGTGTTTACTCGCTTTCATAGCTTTCACTTGAAAACACTGCTACAGAAACTGTTGGAACACAAAAATACACATCAACATATTTATCCAGAATGGTGCCAGGGCTATACTGTGGCTGTACCTCTGTTGATAAACAGGGCTGGAGTGGACAAAGGCACCCCACGCAGCCAGCACTGCAATCCAAAGACAAAGGCACTGACTTGCCAAAGCCCTTCAGCGAGTTTGTTGACTTTGTGCATAATAAGATCCATTCATTGCAGGGTGGGTGCATTTCTGTCTCTGTGAAATGCATGTGCAGTCACAAAATGCTGGTGTCCTCAACATTTCCTAAAGTCTCTCCAAGGACTCAGCTAGTCTCAAGCCATCAGCCACAAGGCTCTTCATCCAGTTTGCTGCCACCTTCCCCTCCTGTTTTCAAATGCCTTGGGGAAAAAAAAAGGGAGAAGCCTTGCAAGGTGTTTAGGACATGATTGGAGTTGGGAAGAGCTAGAAGGGGGGGAGCAGCACCAAGCCTAAGGATGTCCTGTCTGCAGGCCCAGCTCACCCATCTCAGACACCAGCAGAGCTGGTGCTGATCCCATGCTTGGAGCTCATTCAAGTCATGGCATGGTTTCAGAGTTTAAAAAGGGCTTTGGGTATTGAGAGTTGAGCAGAGGAAGGAATACATACCTTTTTTGCACTTATCAGGCAAAGAAATGGCATCTTCCAATAAGAGATATCCTCCTTAAAATTGCAGGCTGCTCTGTGAATTTTCTAAGTTTCCACAGATGTGCTTGCCCCCGGTGTTTTTGGGGTGTTTTGTGTCACCGTGCTCCTACCCACAAGTTGTGTTCAAAGCCATATTGGAGTTCATGATGGGGATCTCATGTTCTTGTTTCTCAAATGACATGTTGGCTTGCCATCCAGAAGTGTTATTAGGTCTTGTAGACAAAAAGGATTAATGATCTACAGAGAAATAGGAATTTTATACTAGTGGGAGGCCAGGCTGACATTAAAGTCAGAGCAAACCATGGTGTATCAGCACTTGCATTGTTTCCCTGTCTTCATTACAGGCCTACTGATTTTTTTTATTTTAGTCCCAGTATCTTTTGGGAGGATGCTATGCCCAGTACAACTTAATTTGGTTTTGCATAAAACTTGATTTTGCTTTGCTGAGTCAGATTTCAGTGCTGGTTTACTCACAATAATGGTGGCAAGAACAGGGAGAGAAAATGGTAGGGAGAATAGATTGTAGAAGTTATGGAGAACTTAATAGTTGTTTATCTTTGTATATCTTAATTGCATGAGTGGGTATGAACACTGGGAATCATACCAGAGACAAGGTTGTGTGTGTTTCCACAAGGCTTAGAGAGAAACCTGAATAAAACAGCTGTTACTGTATCATCTCCAGCTCCAGAGGGAGCATGTGTTTAATAAATGTGGAGATCACTATCGTACCCTACTGCTGTGACTGAGGTTAGTGGGTTACAGCATGTTTTCACTGAATTTGATGATAAACCAAAAGCCTTAATTCAACAAAGCCTTGGGGCAGATCCTTAAAGTCCTGATTTAGGAAAGCTGGTGAAAAATCTCAATTGGGCTTAAAAAGTATTAAAATAGACTTGTGCCTGTAGATAGACAAAATAGACAGAGAGATCTTGCCTGTATGCCCACTGAAGCTCACAGTGAGCACAGTGAAGGGTTGGGTGCACCCCATTTGCATTACAACTCACATAAGGTGCTGTGGGCAGGAACCCTGGCTTCAAACTGCCTCACATACCCAAATTCCCAGCTGAGTCCCACCCCCAGGGCCAAGCCTCCTAATGCACAAAGGGTTTCTGCCTACAAGCAACCTGCCTCAGGAGCTCTGTGGCTGGGAATGCTTTGGCCCCCTTAGATTCCATCTCCTGGATGTCTGCATCTAGCATAGTTATATTAACTGTGTCATCTGTCTGCTCAGCACTCGCTGCCAGTGTTTTTATACAGCAAGTGCCAAGTAGGCTGAAAAGGCAGGTGAATTACGAGTGGCAATTACACGTGGAGATGAGAAGAGGTGGAGAAGTACCAGGTTATAGAAGGCTGAAATCATGGTGGTCTCATCTTTTTACACAGTTGTCACTGTCGCTTTGAAGCCTGTTAAAACAGCGCCTAGCAAGAAAATGCTTTTTCACCTCCCCTTATCCCATTAGCCTTAGCAGAGTTAGAGAATTTGACATAAAGTCAAGCTACCACAACTTAGCAAGATTCTCAAAACCAGCTTGTCTCTTTCTGTACTAAAAGTGTGTAGGTTTAGACCCAGAGGAAAAGGAAATGTCCTAAGCCACGTTGTCTTGCACTTGCTAAGCAGGGCTGTGGAATGGCTTATCATGATACACAAAAACTTGTTCAACTTGATTATGTGTTAAACCCTTGTTAATTTTGCAGTAGTAGCATAGGAGTCCGTTGGTAGCTGACATCAAACTACTGAGTTTCTTCTTCTGAGGATTACAAAGCCATCTTTGTTCAATTTTTTTCCTTCCTATTTTCCATGATTTGTTTTTATTCTTCATGTGTTTTCTTAGTTCAGTGCAATTTTATAGTGGTAAATGTGTTAGGACTCCCTGGGAGGAAGTGCTGTGCCTAGTCACTGAAGGAGGTGTTACATTTGGGATTCTGGAATTCTTTATTCCCATCTCTGGTGCTGATCCCTTGTGGGACTCTGGGCAAGAAGGTTATTGTGACTCAGAATTTCTGCAAAGCACTTTCGAGGACAGAGATGTTTTTTCTACAGAAAGCACAAAAATCTCTTCGTATTTAAATTCATGTGGAAGGGTAACTTAAAATAATTAAGTGTTGCCAGCACTGTTCCAGACTTTATGAAGTACGAGTTTCTCATCCCAACTATGAAAGCTCTTCCATGATGATGTAAACAGCTAAACCTCAACATGCTTCACCATGGCTACCCTGAGTGCAGGCATCCCGTACACAGAACAGTCCTATTTGTCCTTTTTCAGTTGGAATCCTAATATGATTGTAAAGGAATATATGTAAAGAAAATTTTATTAAGGGAA